ACAGCCATATCGCTCTGCTCTAGATTCTGCAGCTAGATCGAATTGTTTCGAGGAAGATCTTTCCTCTTGGATTGCCTCTAAAGAGAGCTTGATCAAGAAAATATTTTTTGGGTGTAGATTATACATTCTAATCTCATGGAACAAGAAATCGCTACTACCTGATTGCATGACCCCAACCGTTCTTGGGCCTCTGATGGTTGTTACATCCTAATCAAAATGATAAAGAAAACTTCAAGTTTTAAATAACCGCTAATGCTCTACCCCACTCGGCTTCAATAAAATATTAGCCCTAGAATGAATTCTACGACCTGTTGAAACGGCTTTAGAAGGATCTGCATCTCCGATGACCACTATGGCTTGATTGCACAGTTCCAGAGGATGACTTTGCGTCTTGAATGGCTGCCAAGATCTGATTACACATCTTAAGCATCTTTTTTTTTGAAAAAAATGCTATGCTTGATCTCTTGGCTATGTAATGGTCTATGGCCCTGGATAAAAGCCACAGCCTGATTAAGTATCTTCAGGAGGGAAGAGTTTTAAACTCAGATAGGTTTTTGAAACTGATCGAATGACTTGAAGAGGACCTCGGGTTTTAAATGGCGTCTACATACTGATCTCCTTGCTGAATGAATATCTTAGGTCTAGTATGAATGTTAAATATTAATGGCACGGTCTGATGAATGGCTTAGATCATGGATGAATACTACCCAATCATGACAGAGCTCCCTAAAAAAAGAAGCAAGATCTACGACGTTCGCTACATACGACTCCGTTTGTCCTCTGTTTTGGATGGTCACAACAATCCGTTCGCACGGATACAGAACCAAGACCTTATATCTAAAATGGTCGCAACAACTCTCTTTTCCCATTTATGAGTTTACGAAAAGGCATTCATTTCTGAATAAATTTAAAACACCAGGTCTAGAATAATTGGAACAGCGAACTTTCATGACTCCAAAAATAATGCCTTTGGCGGTTTCTTCAACGTCCCGCTCGTCACCAAATAAAAGGCCTTAAGGATTCTAAAGTCGTAAATATGCAATACAGTCTGTCGCATATTTATCCGAATACTAAAAGGCCTCAAGGCGTATAAAATGAATAATAGAGTCTGATCCACACACGTCTATCTATAAGAAGACCTCGAGTCTAAAGTCTTGAAAGATTGCTACAGTCAATCCCGAGCCAGCCGAAGAAATATGACCAAGATAGGAAAATCACAATGAACTCTACTCAGTTTCTGATCTGACTATATTAGTTGGATTCACAAATTCTCAACTATCTATGTGACATGGAAGGTACGTATTTCTCCATATCTCTCTCTTGTTTAAATAACACATTCTCCTATGTACTAGAATTTCCTGATTAAAGTTTTAAAAAAATAATTTTGTTAATGACCTTAAACCAACCACAGACAGAATGCTTTCAAACCTTTCCAGAACTAGCAATAATTTTTTTCATAATAAAGGCAATATATATAAAGGTGCTTATTTATAAAAGAAATAAATTCAGGCCTCAAAATTGCTTTAAGATTAAATATCAATGATGCTTTATGTCATTCTATATAATCAATGAGGAATAATTGTGTCCAGGTAGCTCCGGAATTCCTTGGTGGAAATGGCAGAACAACACCAATCGCAGAGTTGCCGGTTTCGAAATAAAAAATGCGTCGCATATCGGACTTTATTTTCTTTGTCCATAATGCTAGACAGATCTAGTGTGTTAATTTTAGGTTTGGTTGTTAGACAGGACTGATTCATGAATGTAGATCGGGAGTAATCCGGGAGTTTGTGTTTCAACCCTCTTTTACCGAAAGCATTTCAACTCACCCTTTGATACATTGTTAAATCTATATCAACTTTAATTCAATACTGTTGCACCGGACTACGGTTTGGATCCTTCAGTCTTGATTCTCTCCTCAGACGCGTCTTTCATCTATCCAGAACGTGTCTCAACCCTCCTACAAGGTTAAACTAGTCAATAATAAGACAACTATATTTTTAGGTTGCACCTATAATATCTATTTATTTATCACATCAAAGTTTAAAGCAGGTGGTGTATTCAGTGTATCAAAATACAAATATTTTCTAGTACATAATATTTTATAGTAATAATCTGTTTTATAAAAAAAAATAAATATGAAATTTAAATTTTAAATATATTAAAAATAATATTAGAAATAATTTTTAAAAAACGCACATTGATCATGATGCAACAATATATACCGCACTACTTACCTCATTGAAATAAAGGGAAATAGATATATAGCAAGACAGCTACCAGATTGTGGCCAATTTAGAAAGAAAACTTCTCTTTACATTTATACAAAAACCTCTCTCTATCTCTCTTTACGAATGCTACCCTTCGATATTCAGTTAAATATGCAACTCACCTTTTGATTAAATGGTATATTCTGACATAGTTTAATAAGAATAAACAGTACAAATGTGATATTGTACTGGGATAAGGTGCATAAATTATTAAAAAAGGCATCTCCTTATCGTGCAACTGAAAGTTACTGATGGCTTGCGCCTTCTATGCGCCATTAATCTTGATTAATCTAGAATGGGTATTTGGCCAATTCTGGAATAATTAAAAATCAACGAGAATAGTTGATATTTATTCCGATAGATGGCGTAAGCCATCAGAAACCTTCAGCTGCACGATTAGGAGATTCCTTTTTTCATAAAAGTTCAATATATTTTATTATAATTTTTATTTCAAGTATATATAATATAGAAAATGGTATGTCTTCTGAAATCAAAAATTATTTAGTGGTGTTATACAACCCGATAATCAACACATATATAACTGGTGGTTACAATGATGTTTGATCAAGGTCTCCTCATTTGTTTATATAAATTATACAAGGCCGCAATCACCGTTCAGGGGAGATTAATGGATTCGCCGAATGTCGTGGTTTGTTTGGATGAAGAAAGCGAAGACCAGAACGCGGCTGATTCTAGACTCGCCTTTTCAGCGATAGGCTAACCTTGACGTATGCACGCTGGAATCTGTGGTCACTGGAGATACATCAGACCTGAAGGCTGTTGCTGGGTTCTGTGCTGCCTGGAGTATAGACGCTCTATCTGTGCTTCCTTCCTGCGGTGAATATGTACAAGATCGGTGGTCCTAACAAAGCTGTGTGTGTATTTAGTGGTGTGTGTATTAAAGAAATCAGTTTGAATGTATGTTATATAAAGTTAGGGGTTTCGATATCAGAAAAAGAAGTTAATCGATTTGGCATCTAAACCAAAATGCTAATATTGCCTGAATACTGCATATTTAACTGCTTTTAAAATCTATATATTTGTAAAAACCTGATAAATAATTGCATCATAGCCTTTTCAGCGATAGGCTAACCTTGGGGTATGCACGGTGGAATCTGTGGCCACTGGAGATACATCAGACCTGAAGGCTGTTGCTGGGTTCTGTGCTGCCTGGAGTATAGACGCTCTATCTGTGCTTCCTTCCTGCGGTGAATATGTTCAAGACCGGTGGTCCTAACAAAGCTGTGTGTGTATTTAGTGGTGTGTGTATTAAAGAAATCAGTTTGAATGTATGTTATATGAAGTTAGGGGTTTCGATATCAGAAAAAGAAGTTAATCGATTTGGCATCTAAACCAAAATGTTAATATTGCCTGAATACGCATATTTAACTGCTTTTAAAATCTATATATTTGTAAAAACCTGATAAATATTTGCATCATAGACAAACCTGTTATATAAATCCACTCATATACAAAATATAAGGAAGTTGTACCTTTTAGTATGTATTTCGTGATTCAGACGATAACCCTGAGAGATATTTGATACACAGTGACCTTTATTGAAAACACATGAGATAACCAAGTGTGAACAAATTGCCTCTGTCTCCTTTAAAAATAAACATAACTGGTTACATAAAAGACTTCTCCTCCTTTACATTTTGTCCATTAGTGTATATACTAAATACTTAAAATTATACCGCATAAGTTTCTTTTTTCTATGAAAAATCAATATTTATTTCAAAGAGAAATATTTACTATTTCTAACTTTTTTGAATGAGGTATGAGAGGGTGAAAATATGAAGAGTAATGGCGAACGGGAAAAATAAAAGTGTCCAGGGGCGGGAATCGAACCCACAACCTTCTGCTTACCGGGCAGGTGCCATGTTCACTAGGCTACCCTGGACGTTATTTCACCGTTCGTAAATAATACTTAAAGTAACTTATGATGCATTATAAAGGACTGCGGCGTGTGATTATAAACAATACTTAAAATTATACCGCATAAGTTCCTTTTTTCTATGAAAAATCAATATTTATTTTAAAGATAAATATTTACTATTTCTAACTTTTTTAAATGAAGTATGAGAGGGTGAAAATATGAAAAGTAATGGCGAACGGGAAAAATAAAAGTGTCCAGGGGCGGGAATCGAACCCACAACCTTCTGCTTACCGGGCAGGTGCCATGTCCACTAGGCTACCCTGGACGTTATTTCTCCGTTCGTAAATAATACTTAAAGTAACTTATAATGCATTATAAAGGACTGCGGCGTGTGATTATAAACAATACTTAAAATTATACCGCATAAGTTTCTTTTTTTCTATGAAAAATCAATATTTATTTTGAAGAGAAATATTTACTATTTCTAACTTTTTTGAATGAAGTATGAGAGAGTGAAAATATGAAGAGTAATGGCGAACGGGAAAAATAAAAGTGTCCAGGGGCGGGAATCGAACCCACAACCTTCTGCTTACCGGGCAGGTGCTATGTCCACTAGGCTACCCTAGACGTTATTTCTCCGTTCGTAAATAATACTTAAAGTAACTTATAATGCATTATAAAGGACTGCGGCGTGTGATTATAAACAATACTTAAAATTATACCGCATAAGTTTCTTTTTTCTATGAAAAATCAATATTTATTTTAAAGAGAAATATTTACTATTTCTAACTTTTTTGAATGAAGTATGAGAGGGTGAAAATATGAAGAGTAATGGCGAACGGGAAAAAAAAAATGTCCAGGGGCGGGTATCGAACCTACCACCTACTGCTTACCGGGCAGGTTCCATGTCCACTAGGCTACCCTGGACGTTATTTCTCCGTTCGTAAATAATACTTAAAGTAACTTATAATGTATTATAAAGGACTGCGGCGTGTGATTATAAACAATACTTAAAATTATACCGCATAAGTTTCTTTTTTCTATGAAAAATCAAAATTTATTTTAAAGAGAAATATTTACTATTTCTAACTTTTTTGAATGAAGTATGAGAGGGTGAAAATATGAAGAGTAATGGCGAACGGGAAAAATAAAAGTGTCCAGGGGCGGGAATCGAACCCACAACCCTCTGCTTACCGGGCAGGTGCCATGTCCACTAGGCTACCCTAGACGTTATTTCTCCGTTCGTAAATAATACTTAAAGTAACTTATAATGCATTATAAAGGAATGCGGCGTGTGATTATAAACAATACTTAAAATTATACCACATAAGTTTCTTTTTTCTGTGAAAAATCAATATTTATTTTAAAGAGAAATATTTACTATTTCTAACTTTTTTGAATGAAGTATGAGAGGGTGAAAATATGAAGAGTAATATTATTTTATTTTTCCCGTTCGCCATTACTCTTCATATTTTCACCCTCTCATACTTCATTCAAAAAAGTTAGAAATAGTAAATATTTTAAAATAAATATTGATTTTTCATAGAAAAAAGAAACTTATGCGGTATAATTTTAAGTATTGTTTATAATCACACGCCGCAGTCCTTTATAGTGTATATACTATTAAAAATAAAGCAATTTGTATATCACCACTGAATTCTTTTTTTTTTTTTTATATTGTACATATTTTCAATATATCCATTTCCAATAAAAAATGTATTGATTGGACTTATCTTTAAAAGATTATTTTTAAAAGACTGGTTTTACATATCTATTATTTGTAATGGCTAGCATTTAGTTATGAAATAAATTTATTTATGGAAGTCTATATATTAACATATTATCTAATATAATTATTAATGGGAAAATTGGATATATTACATATACCTATATATCAACTGATTAAAATATTAAAATTATTGTCATTATTTAAAAGAATTTACTTTGTAAATTTCATATATTGCAACACATTAAACTGAAGGTTATCATGGTAGCTAGGTGGTGTTATCGAACATGATTGTGCTTAGTGTAGTCCTCAAATTTGAAACACATTATTTTATGAGATATAATTCCCTAATTGAGAAAAGTATATTTATAAAAATAATTTAGTTAATGACCTTGAACCACCCACACATATAATTGTTATTATATAATATTAGTACTCATAGAGATATATAAAACAAAAGAGGCATATCCTGAACAGAATCACATGAGATTTTCTAGATGGCAGATAAATCATCAAGAAATTGGGTTGGCCAAATATCAAGGAGCAAGTTAAATAAACGTTTACTTTATTTTTGCTCCACTAGATGGCGCTCTGCCATCTAGAAAAGCTCATGTGAGTCTGGTCAGGATATGCCTCTTTTGTTTTTAATATCAACACCTGGCCTATTATATATATTTTTATATGAATATTATTAACCTTCCTATTTGGCAATTATAAAGAGTGTTCAGAGTATTTACTATGAATACAATATTAGCTAAGTTCTATTCCGCAAAAGGAAGCCCTCGGGTCTTCAGATTATATCAATTTTTATATTAAAATACCTATAAAAGAGACAAATGCGGTAAAAAATAATCATGAAATATACATATCTCGAATTCAATAATCGCATAGTGATGTACAAATCTTAGATGTCGCCAAATATCCATTTAACTTCGAAGAAGTGTATTTGATGGAAACATTGAGAATCTTATTCTTAGCAAAACGTTGCAACAAAACGACTGCATTCTTAAAAAAAGAACAACACAAATTTCAATAAATTTAAAAAAGACTATATACAACTTTAAACATCAATATTGTATGAGTTTAGAATGAATGTTGAATATATATATCTTGCGTAGCGCGCGCGCTCTTTTTATCTCTCTAAATTTATCCCATACTCCTGGAGTAGACAGATTTCCCAAATTGTCCAGGTTGGTCTTCAGTATTAAGTGCTCGTGTTACCATACATTCATTTGATCAGGTGTTTCACCAGGTTGGGCAGGCCAATAGAGATTCCTAAGAAACTAGCTTTAGGTTTTCATCTAAACATTCCTTACTATAAGTGTTAATTGTATTCATCTTATCTCAAGCAATTTTTAAACTGATACACGAGTGTCATCTTGAAATATCCATAAAAAAGTACTCCTTTATTTTAAATCCTATTTTACCCACTAAAAAACATAACCTGACACATATATATATATTTTTAAAATAAGGCTTATTTTGGATTTAAATATGATTATTTATTTACCGATATTTCGATGGATCAATCTTCCATCTTTTACGAGGTGTTTTGCAGTGAAGCACGCAGCAGGTCGCGCGCCCCAGGTGAGCCACTAGACGTCTTCTAAGCTTATTGGGCGATGAACCATCTAATATATACAATCTAAACAGAGTAAATATAATCAAAATATTATTTTGATTATATTTACTCTGTTTAGATTGTATATATTAGATGGTTCATCGCCCAATAAGCTTAGAAGACGTCTAGTAGCTCACCTGGGGCGCGCGACCTGCTGCGTGCTTCACTGCAAAACACCTCGTAAAAGATGGAAGATTGATCCATCGAAATATCGGTAAATAAATAATCATATTTAAATCCAAAATAAGCCTTATTTTTAAAATATAAATGTATTATGGATTGCTCTATATTCAGAATATATATATATATAATTTTCAACAACATCAACATCCTGGAATAGTTAACAATGGGGAATAATTGTGTACAGATAGCTCCGAAATACCTTGGTCGAGGAAGCAGAACAACACCATCGCGGCAGTGCCGGATTCGAAATAAAACTCACGTCGCATTTCGAATTTTACTTCCTTTGTCTACAATCCTACCTAGATATAGCACTATTAATTATAATGTCTTTGTTTTAAGGTTGATTTTCAGACAGAGGACTGCGATTCATGAAATCTATTATCTGATGGTAATTTGTTTTATGAGTCACCCAACTTTTACAGAAAGGAAAATATTTCAACTGAACCTTTAGGACAATGGTGAAGCTATATCGACTATAATCTTTCTTCTATAAGTAAATAATAATAATTATATTTATATAACTATATAACTCACCCCTAATTGATATAAGAGGTAAATAATTAAACAGAATTGCCTCATTACTGGTGAATCCTCTCAGTGATTTTAATCGAAATTAATCGAAAAACCGCTCTAATGTTGGACTCTTTCTCTGGAATATATAGTGAGTATTCTTTTAAATTCTCGATAGTTATTCATATTTTTAAACCATGGTCTGTTTTAAATAGACTATGTTTTATAAATATAATATATGCTATAACATATAAGTTATGATAGTTTATCATAACTTATACATATATGACGACAATAGACTTACTGGTTTTGAATATGTAAATTTATAATTATTATGAGAATTGTATTAGATGGAAATATCAATAAACATCTGTAAAGGTGTGAATGTTTGATTTGGTTCTTTATTCGATTGAAATAAGTTCTGAAGTAAACGTAAAATATAAAATCAGTTATTTTGATCATTATTGTTCTTTAGTCTTATATTATACAAAAGATGACCTAGTGGAAGATCTATATTGGAAAATGATATAATTTTATCCACGTACGCGGGAGTATGAGCATATATAGTGGCGGTGTAATATGATATAGAAATTAATTACATAACATATAATGTGGCAGGACAGTTAAACACTACACACTCTCTCTAATGGAAAAAACTAAAGGGTGTTTCATTTTCTTTATTTGCTTATATTGAAGAGTTTTCCCATACATGTAAATTCGAACGTGTTCTCCTTTAAAATACAATATATTAATAAAAATGAGTATATAAATGTTGAAAGATACAACTTTATTAAGCTTTAACCATCAGTGTTGTTTCATTTATGTTATAAATATGGACCATTTTGAAGAATGACACTTTTCTTTATTTTCTATTTTACAACAAAACATGAACATATCACAATGAAGATGAAAATAGAATATATCGAATATTATTTAAAAATCACATAAATATTTACTTATTAAATATATATAAAAATATAAAATAAATATGTAGAAGTATAGAGGGCGCCTCTTCCGTTAAAATAAACGTCAAAACCTGATGCGATCTATTGACCGTCGCCGCAACTAGCGGCCTCGGGTCGGTGACAAAGCCACAACACCACTTTGGAAAACTGAGAAGCGTCCACCTAGAGACCATGATTTCGGGCTAATGTCCCTCGTCAGTCTAGGGCGGACTTTATTCCATGAGATCCACACGGGATCTAATGGAATCTTCACAATCTACCAAAGAGATATTTTGCTGGCAAGGTGGCTGGGCCAAATCTATTGTGAAGATTCGTGTGGATCTCATGGAATAAAGTCCACCCTAGACTGACAAGGGCCATTAGCCCGAAACCATGGTCTCTAGGTGGACATTTCTCAGTTTGCCAGAGCTGGTGTTGTGGCTTTGTCACCGACCCGAGGCCGCTAGTTGCGGCGACGGTCAATAGATGTCATCAGGTTTTGACGTTTATTTTGACGGAAGAGGCGCCCTATGCTTTTATGGATCAATTTACTCCGGGAAAAAAATTCCAAACTAAATATGTGTAAATAAAATATCAAAAGATAATGTTACGAATACACTTGTAGCAACAAAACATAGCATTCACAAGGTACAAAAGAAGGGATCCCATCTTCAATGTCCAAACAAGAATTGACCTTTGGTGATTACATCCCTCCAGTGCAACCTTCAAAGTTGCAGCTAAGGTTCTATCTGATGTGAACGACGCAAAATTAAGTAATAAATTGGACCAATTGTTTGAACCAAGGTGAAGTTGAAATAAACCTCTATACGCCACTGTTCCTTGATACTAATCTATTATTATTTGTCGCCGACCCGAGGCTGTAAGTTTGCGGCGACGGTCAATAGATGGCGTCTGGTTTTTACGTTTATTTGACAGGATAGGT